ATCACGTACTTTAAATTTTAAGATACCATTAATGTTAACACCTGACTCCTAATTTAAAATCTTATGTTTATTTGCTTTATCTCTGCACAAAGCTATGCATAATTGTTCTTTTTTTATTAAATGGAAAACTTTCTTACTATTGTATTAACCCTTCACTGTCAGTGTCGTATTATTACGGCTTACAAGCCAATGTTGGTGCCGTATTAATACCCAAAAATTCTAGCGGCTTTCAAATCTAGCAAGAGAAAGCTGGTAGACCTACATGCAAGAGAATGGGTCTGCGTGGTCAGGGTGCACAGTATAAAAAAAAATCCTGCAGCACAGAGTGTAAATGAGGAAAATAAAAATCCAATCGTGTTTTTGGCTATAAACACCGATTTTGAGGTGTATTTTCGTATGATATTCATGGTTCTATTTTCGTTTTCTTGGTCTCATTTGACAGAATGGATGATATATTACAGAAATAGAGATGATTTTGATTTGTTTCATGATGAAAAGTACATACCTTGAAAATGAGCTCAAAGTAGCAGAAATGTTCGATTTTTGCTGATGTTCAAGAGTAAACAAATGACGTCACTGTCCAATGTGTGTCCAACTGGCCAATCTAATACGCAGTCATGAATGGGTTGACATTATTTATACAATTATTACAATACTGCAGTAGTCTGCATAACAGTAAATCTATTTTTTTTTTTTGTGAATAAAAATTAAAAATGGAAAGCAAGAGTAATATAAGAGGGGCCTGGAGACATGACTAATGAACAGAGAAAATGTTGTTTTAGTGTCAGGAATGTCTGCATTATTTATTCTGGACCCTATTTTAAAATTGGTATCTTTTGAAATTTGTGTGAAATTGGCCAAATTGCCAATTTCTGACCACTTTATTGGGTAGTTGAAATTGGTAAATGAGGAGTTTCTTGTACTCAGTTGATAGGACAAATTGAGTTCTAGCAAAATAGCTATGCGTTTGGTCGACTGGAACAATGGAACTGGCTGAAAATAGGGCTCAAAGTGGGCAAAACCATTGATGCGCACATTTTGCCGAGGCCTCTAACTTCATGAGAGCATAATTTCATAAGTTTTCCATCAAATTTTGTACTTTTGGTGTCATTACCATTGAGAAAAAATTGTCTATAATTTCACTTTTTTTTTTTTTTAAATTCTTCAACACTGAGAGCAAGTTTGTGAGCAGGGGGTCTCGATAAGAGAAAGGGTTAATGTTTAGTCTTATATAAAATCAGAATATTCTCTTCCTTTTGATTTTATAATTCAACTTCAGCATATATAAATATTTATAAATATAACTGTAGAGTAAAGCACCCTTCTGGCAAGACAGTGATGGAGTGAATGATGGTGAAAGTTTTTCTTTTTCGGGCCACCCTGCCTTGGTGGGAATCGGCCAGTGTGATAATAATAAAAAAAAAAATTACCATTTTTTATAATTATTAACACACTGTCCATTTCTCACCAAGGTAGGGTGGCCCAAAAAAAGAAAATCTTTCATCATTCACTCCATCTCTGTCTTGCCAGAGGCACACTCACACTACAGTTATAAAACTGCAACATTAATGCCCCTCCTTCAGAATGCAGGCACTGCATATTAGCATAATTTGGTCAGAATTGCTCTGCATACTATAGACTTCAATGAAAATATTTTCACTTGGCTGTAACTTGCTTTCTCTCATCTTCTATTTAACCCTTTGACTGTCGCAGCCGTATATATACGTCTTACGAGGTACCATGTTTGACGTATATATACTCATAAATTCTAGCGGCTTCAAATCAAGCAGGAGAAAGCTGGTAGGCCCACATGAGAGAGAATGGGTCTGTGTGGTCAGTGTGCACCATATAAAAAAAATCCTGGAGCACGCAGTGCATAATGAGGAAAAAAAAAACTCCGACCGTTTTTTTAATTAAAATGCCGACTTTGTGGTCTATTTTCGTGTAGTATTTATGGTTGTATTCTCGTTTTCTTGGTCTCATTTGATAGAATGGAAAACATATTATAGAAATAGAGGTGATTTTGATTGATTTTACTGTATAAAGAACCTAGAAATAGAGCTCAAAGTAGGGGAAATGTTTGATTTTTGCCAATGTTCAAAAATAAACAAATGATGCCATTGCCCAATAAATGTCCAACTAGCCATTCTAATATGCAGTCATGAATGGGTTGATGTTATTTATACAATTATTACAGTACTGCAGTAGTCTGTATAATAGTAAGTCTTCTATTTTTTGTTTGAATAAAAATTCAAAATAGAAAGCAAGAGAAATATCAGAGTGGCCTGGAGACGTGACTGAAAAATTCAAAATAGAAAGCAAGAGTAATATCAGAGTGGCCTGGAGACATGACTGATGAGCAAAGAAAATGTTATTTTAGAGCCAGGAATGTCTGCATTGTTCATTCTGGACCTTATTTTGAAATTGTCATATTTTTTAGTTTTCGTGAAATTGGCCAAATTGCAAATTTCTGACCACATTATTAGGTAGTTGAAATCGGTAAATGGGCAGTTTCTTGTACTCAATCGATAGAAAAAATGGAGTTCTAAAGAAATAGCTATGAGTTTGGGCGACTGGAACAATGGAATTAGCCGAAAATAGGGCTCAAATTGGGTGAAATCGCCGATTTGTAAACAGCGCCGAGGTCGCTAATTTTGCGAGAGCATAATTCCGTCAGTTTTCCATCAAATTTCGTTTTTTGGTGTCATTACAATCGGGAAAAGATTCTCTATCATTTCATAAGAAAAAAATAATTTTTTTTTTTTAAATTTTGCGACACCAGGAGACACTTCAGGATTGGGGGTTGCGACAGTCAAAGGGTTAATCAACCCTGAATATTACTATAAATATGCAGCATATGCTAAAGGTGTTAGGCACTTTCAATATATTTGTGATAAAGATAACCCAACAAGTACAGATCTACTCCTATCATCACACAGGTAATCACATACCTTTTGACTCAGAAACAACTGGGATACCAACCAATTTTATTTTGCACTATTTTTAAATGGGTATAGTATTTTTAATTTTGTGTAAAACTGACCAAATTACTGACTTCTGTGCACTTTATAGGGTAATTGTAAAAGTTGAATAGGAGGTTTCTTGTGCTCAGTCGACAGAAGATTTATTTTTTTTTTATTATCACACTGGCCGATTCCCACCAAGGCAGGGTGGCCCGAAAAAGAAAAACTTTCACCATCATTCACTCCATCACTGTCTTGCCAGAAGGGTGCTTTACACTACAGTTTTTAAATTGCAATAAATGGAATTTATTGAAAACAGAACTCAAAGTGGGCAAAATCGGCACTGCGTAAGTTCCACACAAGCTAACTTTGTGCTTGCATAGTTCTGTAATTTTTCCAACAAATTTCATACATTTCGTGTCATTACCTTAAGAACATGATTCCCTACTATTTCATAAAAAAAAAAGGAATACTGGGAGCAATATTAATTTTGGGATCTGGACAGTTAAAGGGTTAATTAAGACACTGCATACCATACATCAATGCTGGAAAATAAGTAAAAAAAAAAGTGTATAAATTTAAAGGAGGAAAAAATGAAACTAGTTAATAATAATATTTTCAGTAGAGTAATACAAAGAATACAAGGACACAATAGTAGAAATGTGAATTAGAGAGTACAGTGGAACCTCAAATTTCAAATTTAATCTGTTCCAGGAGCTAGTTCTAAATTCAAAAAGTTTGAAAGGTGAAGCAATATTTCCCATAAGAAATAATGGAAATACAATTAATCTGTTCTAGAAACCCAAAAATATTCACAAAAAAAAAAAAAAAATACATTTTATAGATAGTATTACATTATAGTTTTACATACACACAACAAATATAGTGTACAATTATTAATAAATTTAAATAAACATATAAAATAACATTTTTACTTACCTTTATTGAAGATTGGTGATGGCATCTGGAAGATAGGGAGGAGGAGGGAGTTGGGGTTAGTGTTTGGAAGGGGAATCTCCTTACATAAGGACTTTAGGTATCAAAGCCCTCTCTGGGGTTACTTCCTTCTCTGTCTTTTAATGCCACTAGGACCAGATTGAGAGTCACTGGACCCCTGTCTCACAAAATAACTGTCCACAGTCCTCTGTTTCCTGGTGCCTCTAAGATTTCCCTAAAATGGGACATGGTTCTGTCACTGAACTTGTTGCAAAGATGGCTTGTTTCAGCTTGCTCAGGGTGGTACTTCTCCACAAACATTTGGACATCATTCCACTTGGCGCAAATCTCCTTAATCTTTGAACAAGCATGCAACTTCCTTGCTTTTTCACAAATAATTGTCTCTGAAACACTATCACCTGCCATCTCTTTATCCTTGATCCACACCAGCAACAACTTCTCAACCTCATCGATTGTCTGTGGTCTTTTCTTGGTTAGTATAGTAACACCTTTCACAACATCAGATTCCTTGATTTGTTCTTTCTTTGCCAGGGTAGAAGCAATGGTCGACTTGTTTTTCTCATACATCCTGGCAAGCTCAAGTCTCACACCACTCTCATACTTCTGTATTATTTCCTTCTTCACATCTATAGTGTTTCTCACTTTCTTTACCACAGGGGTACCACTAGCAAGTTTCTTTGGGCCCATGGTAGCTTATTTCACAGTCCCACAGCACTAAACACAACGAATTATTCATAAAATGTTTGAATGAGACCGCAGGTTAGTGTTCACTCAAGCATCAACAAAGCCAGACTGGCTTACAGCGCCTGTGCGGGGACGCGGACAGAGCGGGCTGGTGAACAGGTCCATTACCCAGCGGTTCGAAAATAGGTGCGAGTTCGATAAAAGGGACAAAGTTGGTTAGAAAAAAGCGGCCGATTTTCGAACAGTTCGATAAGCGATACATTTGAAATTTGAGGTTCCACTGTAAAAGAATAAATTGCTGGAAGCAGTGTGTGCCACAACTATGAAATTCTTTGAACAAAATTGTGACTGAGCAACTAAAAAAGATATGACACTGAGAATACTGTAGTGACATACCTGGTCCCCTTCTACTTGGACAGAAAGAATACCCAGCTGCCGCAGTGCTTGATCTCCTGCCTGTGCCAGCTGATGTAGACGTACGGCAGCTTCTCGTGGGATGGAGAATGTCACTCGTACACTGTTCCATGGCTCAACTTTTCGCACAAACCAGGTTGAGTCTGAAATTCAGTAAAAATTCATTATTTTATATACAGTTTATCTACCTATCTATAAATATATATTAGACGGCCATTAAAGCCAGCCTATACACTGTTCAAATATTAATGCAACCATGGAAACAAGTGGTTGTAGAGCAAAGAATATACTGCAACTGGCCAATACTCAAACCCAAGAATCTCACCCATCTTGAGAGATGCCTTTGTCCACCACATGACCATGGCACAAAATGGTAGGTGGTCAGTGATACCACTAGCCTCTTTTTTTTTGTAGTTGCAATATCTGTACTGCTAACTGAGGATGGCATTAATGGAAGAATGAAATTATTCCTGTAGTTTTCCATCCTCCAAATGTGGCTGGCACTAGGGAAAACATGGCTAGTGTTAGTTACATTATCATTTGCCATTTTTATGTCAAATGCAGCTACAGCTCCTACCCTTATCTGAGTACTGTATATAAAGTGGACATAATTTGCACAGATTACGCTCCTAAAAATTGCACTATCATTGATTTCCGTGACTTAAGTGAAAAACACATGGGTAAAATACGGTTGCAGTCCTCCATAAAAAAAATTTACCATCATAATCAATCAAAAACCATGTTTCTACATAACTGTGTTGATGAGGATGCTCTACAAAATACCTAAACTCTAGTGAAGTTCAGACTCTTCAAAGGATGAGTACTTGTAGCTAAAAAAAAAAAAATAGTTACATTAACTCTCTGACTGTCACAACCTCAAATCCTGAAGTGTCTCCTGGTGCCAAAAAATTTTTGGAAAAAAAAAAAAAAAAAATTCTTATGTTATGAAATGATAGAGAATCTTTTCCCAATAGTAATGACACCAAAAGTACGAAATCTGATCAAAAACTTATGGGATTACGCTCCTATATGCATCGGCGATTTTGCCGACTTTGAGCCCTATTTTCGGCCAATTTCGTTGTTCCAGTCAACCAAACTCATAGCAATTTCTTTAGAACTCCATTTTTTCTATCAACTGAGTACAAGAAACCGCCCATTTATTGATTTCAACTACCCAATAAAGTGGTCAGAAATTGGCAATTTGGCTAAATTCACACACATTAAAAAAAAAATGCCAATTTCAAAATTGAGTCCAGAATAAACAATGCAGACATTCTTGGCACTAAAATAACATATCCTCTGTTCTTTAGTCACATCTCCAGGCCCCTCTTATATTACTCTTGCTTTCTATTTTGATTTTTTATTTACAAAAAAAAATAGAAGATTTACTGTTATGCAGATTACTGCATTATTGTAAAAATGGTATAAATAATATATGTGCACTAGTGAAAGAATATCAGACACTCTAGTTGATGTGTACTGGATGTGTGGTGTGATTTGCTTACTCTTGAACATTGGTAAAAATCGAACATTTCCGCTACTTTGAGCTCAATTTCAAGGTCGTTTTCAGTGTGAAACTAATCAAAATCATATCTATTTCTGTAATATGTTTTCCATTCTATCAAATGAAACCAAGAAAATGAGAATACATCCATAAATACTATAGGAAAATACACCTCAAATTCGGTGTTTTAATCCAAAAACAGGATTTTTTTTATACAGTGCACACTGACCCCACAGACCCATGCTCTCACATGTGGGCCTACCAGCTTTCTCCTGCTTGATCTGAAGCCTCTAGAACTGAGTATATATACGTCCGAAACACTGGCTCGTAAGAAATATATACGGCCAAAACAATCAAAGGATTAATAATGTACAGTATTTATTACTTACCTTCAAGTCAAGTTGGTGGTGCTTTACATCTTGAAACAAGTAAAAAGACTGACTGTGGCCCTACTGGACTGAAGCTGAAGGCTGGGGTTGATGCAATTTGAAGGTTGGGGATCTTGGAATGCTGATGCAGCTTCATCAGTTAATTGTTGCAGTGGAGTGCTAAGGTATTCTGTCATACTCCACTGGCTTGTTTTACCCTGCAGTACTTTATACAACCCCCTGCACATTCTAAACCAATTAAACCATACAGAACTAAAAGTTCACTTGTTTCCAGGGTGTATAAGACCATCAAGTGGAACACCTTTCTTTGTTTTTCAATCCCCACATTTAATAAGCTTCGTTTTACTTGGCTGTAATAACCTATTCCTCATTCATTTTACTGTCACACTGACAATTGCTTGTTGCATAAGCCTGTTATCTTCATCTCACTGTCTGACTCCTCCTCGTTAGTAAGCAATTCTAACTTCTGTCTTTCCCTGTACTCTTTCAATAATTCTACCATACACTCAGACTTATTTCCCTATAATTCATACACTCCATCCTGTTCCTTTTCCCTTTACCCTTTAACTGTGTCATACTTGGAAATTAAATTTCCTGGAGTGGCAAGCATGATAAAAAAAAAAAAATCTTACAGATCCAAAGAGTACACTTACAAATCAACAAGACTAAAATGAGTGGAATTTGATAAAAACTTATGATTTTATGGTGTACTGAAGTTGGCAAAAAAAAATTATCACTTGGTAACAGCAGCATAAATGCACCAACAATGTATTTATATAACAGCAGCACAAATCCAGCAGCAATATTTATATTTTACAATTTAACATGGTTTTGACTGTTTATCAGATTTTTAGCTTTTAATGTGTAACACTAAGTACACTAGTTTCTTATGATATTAGATGTTTCAATGTACTTAGTACAGAACTGTACTTCAAACATAGAAAAATGCAAAGCCCAGCCAACACTGCCTCACTTGATGTATACTGTAGCATAAATTGGTAGAAATTATTTATTACTCTGGACTTCTAATAATTAAGGTATTAAAATTGTTTTAAAGGGTAATATAAATCAAACTGTATCATGAAATTTTAATAAATTTGAAATGAACAAGACATCTTCCTGCCAGTTCCACACATTGTTTGCTAGAAAGGAAACTGACAGTGGAATAACAGGTCCTGATTTGTTTACTTATGCTATTTAGGCAATGTTATCTGCAATGCACTGTGTGGAGCCCATTTGGTCTTATACTTTTTTTTTCAACACACAAAGAGTTTGTAAGACCCAAACAGTTGTGTTGAGGTCAAAAATATTGGAAGGTGGCAGATTTGAGGGCACAAAAAAATTGTGCCCTCAAATGTGGTTTTGTGTGTGTTCACCTAATTGTGGTTGCAGGGATCGAGACTCAGCTCCTGGCCTCGAAACTTCACTGGTCTCTACTAGGTCCTCTTTCTCCCTGCTCCATGAGCTTTATCATACCTCGTCTTAAAACTATTTATGGTTCATGCCTCCACTACATCACTTGCCAGACTATTCTACTTCCTGACAACTCTATGATTGAAGAAATACTTCTTAACATCCCTTTGACTCATCTGAGTATTCAACTTCCAACTGTGTCCCCCCCTCTGGAACATCCTGTCTCTGTCCACCTCATGTATTCCTCGCAGTATTTTGTATGTTGTTATCATGTCTTCCCTAACACTCCTGTCCTCCAGTGCCACACTATTCTAATTCCTGACAACTCTATGACTGAAGAAATACTTCCTAACATCCCTGTGACTCATCCGAGTCTTCAACTTCCAATGTTGATGTTTCAATATAGATGTTTCAATGTACTTAGTACAGAACTGGACTTTAAACATAGAAAAATGCAAAGCCCACCCAACACTGCCTCACTTGATGTATACTGTAGCATAAATTGGTAGAAATTATTACTCTGGACTTCTAATACCTATGGTATTACAATTGTTTTAAAGTGTAATACAAATCAAACTGCACTGCATGGTAGTGGCTTTCTTTTGTGCTCAACAATTCTTTATTACATGCAAACTACATTTTGAATACTGCTGTATTGTTTATATTATATAAGTTACACTGTTTGGCTATATCGGGTTATCCTAGGCTAAATCTACATAGCTTGTTCTTTGACTGTATTCCACTGTAAGTATCATGAAATTTTAATAAATTTGAAATGAACGAGACATCTTCCTGCCAGTTCCACACGTTGTTTGCTACAAGGGAAACTGACAGTGGAACAACAAGTCCTGATTTGTTTACTTATGCTATTTAGGCAATGCTATCTGCAATGCACTGTGTGGACCCATTTGGTCTTATATTTTTTTTCCACACACACAAAGAGGTTGTAAGACCCAAACAGTTGTGTTGAGGTCAAAAATATTGAAAGGTGGCAGATTTGAGGGCACAAAAAATTGTGCCCTCAAATGTGGTTTTGTGTGTATTCACCTAATTGTGGTTGCAGGGATCGAGACTCGGCTCCTGGCCTCGAAACTTCACTGGTCTCTACTAGGTCCTCTCTCTCCCTGCTCCATGAGCTTTATCATACCTCGTCTTAAAACTATGTATGGTTCATGCCTCCACTACATCACTTGCCAGACTATTCTACTTTCTGACAACTCTATGATTGAAGAAATACTTCTTAACATCCCTTTGACTCATCTGAGTATTAAACTTCCAACTGTGCCCCCCCCCTTGTTTCTGTGTCCCCTCTCTGGAACATCCTGTCTCTGTCCACCTCATCTATTCCTCGCAGTATTTTTTATGTCGTTATCATGTCTCCCCTAACACTCCTGTCCTCCAGTGTCATCAGGCCGATTTCCCTTAACCTTCCTTCGTAGGACATTCCCCTTAGCTCTGGAACTAGTCTTGTTGCAAACCTTTGCACTTTCTCTAATTTCTTGATGTGCTTGACCAGGTGTGGGTTCCAAACTGGTGCTGCATACTCCAGTATGGGCCTGACGTACACGGTGTACAGAGTCTTGAACGATTCCTTACTGAGGTATCAGAATGCTATTCTCAGATTTGCCAGGAGCCCATATGCTGCAGCAGTTATCTGGTTGATGTGTGCTTCCTGA